GACTCACACTCTGAGCTTCGTGCGGTACGTGCAGTGCGAGCTTCGTGCAGTGCGTGCAGTGTCAAAGAGATTTCACGACTCTGAATCGCTCGAACAACTGCCCTCTGACGCCTCGTCGGATGAAGATCCATCGGCGCACTCATCGTCATCTACATTCGAGAGGAGTAACTGATACATCTCTCGTAGCACGCTGTCGCAGTGTTAAACGCAGTTCCAGATCACAGCCGGAGGCAGGGCGTCAAATGCGTTGGCGAGACGCGTGCGCACTTCATCAAACGACGTGACAACGGTATACTGTACGCCCACATCACCCTTCACCTTTGACCAAACCATTTCAATGGGTTGAAGATCCGAGTAATGCGGTGGAGTGTAAACAACATCGTGGCCGCGGGCCCGCGCCATCGTCACCACCACGGGGTGCACACGCGCCGCCAGCACAGGTTTGAGACGCGACCATATTGTCTTCTTCAGATTATTGGGCTGCACATTCACGTTGAACTTCAAACACACTGCAAGTAGGTCTGTCTTGCGCCAATTGCCACGCGGGGTATCTAGCGGCTGTCCTTTATGGAATCGTGCATTGTCCATTACGAAGGGAACTGAACGCATGCCCATCTTCTCCACCTCATTGAGAACGTTTTCGAACCACTTCACGAAGTAGGCATGGTCAAACATTCCGTGGTAGTGCTGGAAGACGTCCAGGTCAACAAGTTTCGCGTCGGCAGGCCCAGCACCGGCCACGATCCCAGCAATAAAGCAAAGTCTGCAACCTTTGTGCTTCTCTTTGACCGGACCGAGATCGGTAGCATCGAACAGACTGTCGTGATGCCGTGCGTAATGATGATGGATATAGCTCTTATCAAGATACACCACCGTCGTTCCAGGTACGAGCATCATCATGTGTTGGATGTACATGTCGCGGGCTGCAGCGTGTGCCTTGGACACAGCGTAGGTTGCACGTCCGCGCCGTTTGCCCCGGTGGAACCCAAGTTTTTGCACGAAATACTGGACACGAAGCAGGAAAGTGTATACCTCAGTCTTGTTTATCGGGTCGTAGTTGATAACACCATGTTTTAACAAGAGTGTCATTACGTCTTTAGCAACTGTAGGCGTTCGTGTCATGCTTCGAGCGCGGAATATTTGAAGGGCCAGACAGGTCACATCATGGGAACGGGGAATGCGTGTATTGCGCTGTTGGTTGTTGGTAGGTGGTGGGACTGCATGAACGGCCTTTGTGCGAAGGTATTCGGACCCGACGTCTTTGACGAACTTCTCACTTCGCCCGAGAAGGAAAGCAATGTTTGTCTGAGACTATCGTGGCTCCAGTACGACGAAACTCGGCGGGAAGACGAAGGATATCAAGACGTTCTTCAGTAGTTAAGCTTCTTGGCCGTTGATGTCGAACGTAGCTCGTTATCGCTACGTAGTCATCATCGGATATGGAGTTGGTTGCGGGCATGTCAATGCACGAAAGTCCACGAATGGTGACGACAGGCTATTATTTTCGAGAGTTTTATGAGGCACATTTCATGCAATAAAATGTACCTCTCTTAAATTCATTGGCATTAATTGGGAAAGGTTATTCGTTATTGTAGGGGATATGTGATGGACTTTGGATCATTATGGCAGCTTTTCTGACAGGGTATTGATTTTCACGTATGACGTCAAATGTACTTTGTTTACTTTGTTTCTACACAATGGACAGATTTCGCTACACAATTTTCCTGTGAACTTTCCCTGTGAAGCCTTTGTCAGTTCTCACAGGGAAATTTGCTGCCAAAATTTTCCTGTGAAGTCTGCCCCACAGGGATGACAAATCCACACAAGGTAGCCAATAGAAATCATTTGCCCCACAGGCCACCCATAGGATGAGCGAGGTAGAAGGAAGCAAGCGAAAGACAGCTTACCGCTTC